CTAGATCTATTTCATTTTACTCATGAACTGTGTCATTATCAAGGAAACTGTTGACAAAAACATCAACAAAAGGAGGCCTTGAGTTCGCAATACGCTGTCTGGTCCTTCCTCCCAGTGATTTCCAGTAACCTCTGTGGCATTTACTTTTTAAATTAAATAAACCTCATCTAGTCTAGATTTCTGGTCAGTGGTACCAGCCCCCTGCAGATGGGTCTGAAGGATTAACAGAAAATCCTTCTGGATCTAGCTCCAACAGATGGACGGCAAGTGTCTGATAAATATTAGGACAAGGTCTGTTTCCTCCTGTTTCCTAAAGATATACAGTATATATTCTGCACACTGTACTTTTACACCCCCTTCCTTGTTTGTTTATAAAAAAGCAAGTCTAAAAATATACCAGATATTTCATTTAAATTCCTAGATTTACACACCTTCTTAGCCATTCCATACTTAAATATTTTCATATTGTGTTTTCGTTGTAGGGCAGTTTTCAATGTAAAATGTGATATGTAGAAATCACACCACATACAGTATCTATGGAATGAAAACATACACACAACTCTGTTTAACCCCTTCATGACGGAGGGCAAAGCAAATCCTAATGCCTGAATGCTAGTTTTGCAACTTTGACATGCGTTAGTAAAACTGTACATACTATTGCAACTTTTTTTTTTTTTTAATGGTTGAACTGGATGGACTTTTTTTTCTTTTTTCAGCCAGACTAACTATATAACTATGTAACTACTTAGGTGCCTTTTTTTTTTTACAGAACAAATTCATCTGTAATTTGGTGTTAAATGGTAATGGATATCTCCTGAATTTTTATCATCAAAGGAAAAATAGCACAATATAATACAAAAAATGTTGTTTGTACCCGTAGTAGGGCCCAGAAACAATAGTGCACATTTTGCTTTTTTATCCTATCTAAAACATTCTGACAGTAATACTAATTTGAAAAATGTTTTTTTTTTTTTTTTACCTAAAATACACTGACCTGACTTTTGACCTTGATCATTGACCCTGACCTTGACCCTAACCCAGCCCTGACACTGACATAGATCAAACCCTCTTTCTTTCTCTTTTCTCTTTTCTTTCTTTCTTTCTTTCTTTCTTTCTTTCTTTCTTTCTTTCTTTCTTGTTTGATTTTCTGCGCAGTGATTGGCCAATTGGAACCACCCGCACAGATGTGATCCTAGCCTGACCCATGAGGCCTGGCCAAAATACTCTCAATGTTTACATTCCTATAAATTGGCTTATTTCTAGGATATTGGCTACAACAAAATGACACTGAGGGGTTGAATTACTAAAACTGGAGAGTGCAAAATCTGGTGGAGCTCTGCATGGTAGCCAAACAGCTTCTAACTTCAGTTTTTCAATTAAGCTTTGACAAAAAAAAAAACCCTAGAAGCTGATTGGTTTCAATGCAGAGCTGCACCAGATTTTACACTCTCCAGTTTTAGTAAATCAACCCCCTTCTTTGAGGACAACTAAAGTGTTAAACGGCTCAGTGGCCATTTTGTTGTAGTCTAGAAAATGAAATGTGACTGGAGATTCTTTGCTGTGCACAGCACACCTGCAGCTTATAAATGAGCAAGCACTCTTGGTCCTGCAATACTGGGGGTGAGCACACAATGACTGCCACATCCTAGAAATAATCTGGGACATAGAAATGTAAACCTTTTATAAATGACACAATGTATTTTAAATTACCGGAGCCGCTTGTCTGCTCAGGTCAGTTTATGTAAAACGGTTGAAATAAAACGGGACTCAGCGAGCGCTTAATAATGAAAGCAGCTGATACACTAAAAAGGAACCATATACCTTCTAAAAAACTAGTACAATTGTAGAAAGTGCAGCGCTAATAATAAGACTGGATAAATAACTGGATATTATCCAAATAAAGTGCTTAGTAACAACAAAACAAAACGCTTAATATCCAGATAAAGTGCTTAGAAAATAACCGCCATAGGAAATCATTGATATTCAAATCAATGAATAAATATTAATTAATAATGTCCAGATATATAATGAATAAAAACAGTCCCAATAAGTGTAAGTGATTCAGATATGAACTAATAAATCTTGTTATCCCAGTGGCATATAAACAGATATTTTGGTGACGTGCGAGGTATGGTAAAAATGCACACTCACCAGATGCGCATTTTAATTGCGCAGTGTATAAATATGTTGTAGTCAGCCAGTCTCTGCACCAACATGGGACTTTGTTTCTTTTCAGCAAGAGATAGAGCTATGACTGAGGCCACCAACAACAGACATGAGGGTGTTAAAGTTTTGCAGCTCTAGAAGTTTCTCTGCTACTTGTATAAACTGCTTAATAACAACTGCCTTTGTTGTGGAGTAGGTTTGCTGAGCACCATAAGCTGGATCCACTGAGAAACATGATTAAACAGGGCTATGAATCTTTCCAAGAAGGGGTTTCCCACAGTACAACCATGAAGGACAAAGCTGTGATAATCCTGAAACACAGTGTTGCTTCCCAGTCTGTCCTGCACAGAAATCTGGTTCCAAGTTGAACCAGTTTGGAAAGATTCATAGCCCTGTTTAATGGTGTTTCTCAGTGTCTGTTGTTGGTGGCCTCAGTCATAGCTCTATCTCTTGCTTAAAAGAAACACAGTCCCATGTTGGTGCAGAGACCACTGTAACGGTAACTGCTTATGTGACGGGAATCACTTTGGGTGGGGGGCCCATGGAACACAGCCCCCTTTAGAGAGATGGGGAGACCCCTGTCTCAGCTCCCCATGTCTGGTGCTGTCTCCTCTTGTATGGTCAGCAGTGGTGTCTGTGGATCTGTGTTCGGACAGGTAAGCGGGAGTCTAACGGAAATACCCTAGTGCAGTCAGGGTCTGGTTCCGTTACAACCACTAAGGCCCTTGAAAACAAGGACACTGGAAACACCCATAAATGATCCCATTTTGGAAACAAACACTCCAAGGAATTTTCTGAAAAGCATACCTTTAAATCTCCAGGAACCCAGGTGACTACCCCAGTGTTCAGAGGAGGGATATCCACACTAGGCTGTATTCCATCCCACCTAAAGGGGACCTCTGGCTGACTTCTAACCACCCCAGAAGAAAGATATCTACACCAGGCTGTATTTCATCCCACCTCAAAGGGGACCTCTGGCTGACTACAACATATTTATACACTGCGCATTTAAAATGTGCATCTGGTGAGTGTGCATTTTTACCATACACCGCACGTCACCAGAATATCGGTTTATATGCCACTGGGATAACAAGATTTATTAGTTCTGAATCACTTACACTTATTGGGACTGTTTGTATTCATTATATATCTGGACATTATTAATTAATATTTATTCATTGAATTAAATATCAATTATTTCTTATGATGGTTATTTGCTAAGCACTTTATCTGGATATTAAGGGTTTTGTTTTGTTATTACTAAGCACTTTATTTGGATAATATGCAGTTATTTATCCAGTCTTATTATTAGCGCTGCATTTTCTACAATTGTACTATGTAAAAAGGTGAACTCAGCATTCAACTTGACTGCTACAGCATACTTGTGTATGGTTGCTAATTGTGTGCACCTCTTTAACCATTTCCCCACTGTCCTATAGCACAAATAATGCTACAGGGCGGCAGGGCTGTGCAAAATCACATATATATATATATAGATATATATATATATAGATACAGTATATACGTGATTTTGTATTTCTTGGTAGGTGGTGTGCGTGCCCTGCCTACGCCGCCATTGGCGGCTACAGCTGTCAATCACCAGGTCCCAGCCAGAGATTCCCAGCTGGCACCGGATAATCGCTAACTATCACTGACGGGGGAGAGGTCTGTATGTAAACAATACAGATCTCTCCCCTGTCAGCTCCAGCACACTACTTTGCATTGCCTCCCTAGTAAAGCACACACACAGCACACAGTAAAACACACACAGTTAACCCTTTGATCTGTATTAGTGTCACAGGGGATGTCAGTGACAGTTAGTCAATACCCCCTTAGTGTCAGAATGCCCACCGCAGTCCCGCAGTCCCATTATAAGTCGCTGATCGCCGCCATTACTAGTATAAAAAAAAAAAACACAAAATTTTCAGTATATATACAGTACCATCATTTGTAGACACTATAACTCACGTAAACCATTTAATTTACATGTATTGGGATTTTTTTTTAGCAAAGACATGTCGCAGAATACATTTTGGCCAAAATTTATGATGAAATTTGATTTTTTAAGATTTTTTTTACTGGACATGTTTAATAGCAAAAAGTCAAAAATATTATTTTTTTCAAAATTTTGGGGTTTTTTTTGTTTATAGCGAAAAAAATAAAAACGCACAGGTGATCAGATACCACTGAAAGAAAGCTATATTTGTGGGGAAAAAAAGGACATCAATTTAATTTCGGTGCAGTGTTGTATGACTGTGCAATTGTCAGTTAAAGTAATGCAGTGCTGTATTGCAAAAAATGGTCTGGTCAGGAAGGGGGGTAAATGCTCTGGAGTGCAAGTGGTTAAATAACCCCAGTTTCAAAAAAGGTGGGACACTGTGTAAAATCTACATAAAAACAGATTTCAATGATCTGCAAATCTCATAAACCCATTTTTTTTACAATAGAAAATAGAAAACATCAAATGTTTAAGCTGGGAAAATGTACCAATAAGAAAATAATAAGGTAATGTGAAATATTAAATCACAATAACAATAGCAACACATCTCAAAAAAGTTAAGATAGCGCTATGTTTACCATGGTGTGGCATTCCCTCTTCTTTAACCACTTGCCTACAGGGCACTTATACCCCCTTCCTGGCCAGGTCAATTTCCAGCTTTCAGCGCTGTCACACTTTGAATGACAATTGTGCGGTCATGCAACACTGTACCTATATGAAATTTTTAGAATTTTTTTGTGACAGATAGAGCTTTACTTTGGTAGTATTTAATCACCTCTGGGGTTTTTATTTTTTCTTAAACAAACCAAAAAACAATGTTTTTTCTTCGTTTTTGTTATAAAATTTTGTAAATAAATGATTTTTCTTCTTCACCGATGAGCACTAATGAGGCTGATGGACACTGATAGGTGGCACTGATGGACACTGATGAGGAGACACTGGTAGGTGGCACTGATGGGCATTGACAGGCATCACTGATGGGCACTGAAAGGCAGCACTCATATATGGCACTGATAGGTGGCACTGACTGGCACTGATAGGTGGCACTGACTGGCACTGTTAGGTGGCACTGATAGGCAGCACTGATGCACACTGATAGGTGGCACTGACTGGCACTGATATGCGGCACTGACTGGCACTGATAGGTGGCACTGATTGGCAGCACTGATAGGTGGCACTGACTGGCACTGATGGGTGACACTGAAAGGCAGCTCAGATGGGCACTGATATGTGGCATTGATATGCACTGGTAGGCACTGATATGTGGCATTGATGTGGCACTGATGGGCACTGGCAGGTGGTATGGATGGACACTGTCAGGTGGCACTGCTGGGGTTACACAGATCATCAAGGCACAATGATGCTGGGATCTATTTTACTACTTTTCTTGTTATCATTAACAAATTCCAAATTACTTAGCACAAAAATATGATACTTGGTTCTGTATTTTCTAAAGTAGGCAGTACTGGGAAGTGGGTAGAAGGTGGAACCAAGGAATGGTGCTCAGACGTGGGTAGGGGGCAGAGACAAGGGTGACTCAGATAGGGGGGAGTTCCTGCATCTATTCTCTGAGAAAAAAAGCCCTGGTCTGGAGAATGTGTTGCCCATGCTTGCCAAAAAGAATGTCAAATTTTGATTAATCTGACCACAAAGCAGTTTTCCACTTTGCAACAGACCATTTTAATGAACTTCAGCCTAGAGAAGACAGCTGCATTTCTGGATCATGCTCAGATATGGCTTCTTCTTTGTATTATTGGATGGCACAGTGAACTGTGTTCACAGACAATGGTTTGATTGATTGAGTTAACTCTTAATTTACTGCAAGGGTCTTATCACTAGAAAATCTGTATGATCAATGGACGTATTGATTATCTGAGTAGTCCAAAACAGTGGCTATAATCTGCCAAATATTTGAGGGCAGTTCTGCTAATTTGCTTGTTAATGAGCTGACTCACATTAACCACTTGCTGACCAATCTAATCTTCATGATAACTGTGACACTGTTCAGCATACTAACCTGCCTCAACCACCTTACCTGCATCATAACTAACTCAGAACATTAACAGCCGACTGTTACACAAGATTATTATTATCATTATACAGGGTTTATATAGCGCCAACCGTTTGCACAGAGGTTTACAATATAAGGGAGACAGTACAATTACAATACATTTCAGTACAGAAGGAATATGAGAGCCCTGCTTGTGGAGCTTACAATCTAAAGATAAACTACATTAATTGTTCTGAAAATTACATTACTTTTAGCAATTACAACAATTAGCTTTTCAGCACATTTACAGTATATGACTTATATCCTTGACTGCACTACACCTTACTAAGGGTTAAAGCAGTGGACTGTGGTACACCCAACTGTTCAGTCTTGAGCAGTAACACATGTACCACAAATCATTAGTTGTCTCACAGTTAAAATACACCTTGTAGTGTGAAAGTGGGGACTTCTTCATTTCTTAAGTTCAGTAGTGTAAATGTTGATTATACCATTGAAGCATTGTAATAAAAGGTTTTGAGTATTGAGTATCTTTCATTGGAGGCTATTTCTGCTGTAGGAATAGAATTCAATATAAATTATTTATTTGGTTTTATTCAATTTTGCTTCTTTAGTTATTCATTAATATTTAGTTAAAATTGATCAACCTTTTCGGGACTATTTGGCACCTGTGGTTGTGCTGTGAATAAAATTATTTAGAAGTTGTCATATACAGCTTATTGTATTCTGCACATTTGCAATGCTGCCACTGGCTTACTGACTGGACGTCCAGATATGAAGGGAGTGGTTTGTTTTTTAATATGATTTTAATAAGGGTATAAGATGTTGTGCGTTATGTTCTGAGTCTATTGGTTGGTATATTTTTTAAATTTGTCAATAAAGAATTCTGCTATTTTGGAACTTCTGTATAATTTTCTCAAAGCCAAGAGAGCTGCTATATGTAACCACTTTTTGAATCCTGACACTAGTCCAATGTTTGTGTATGCTACTGTTTCTAATGCAATGTCATCTGAGGGCCCAAAGGTCATGGACATTCAATATTGCATTTCGGCCTTGTCCCTTGTGCAAAAAGGTTTCTCCAGACTCTCAGAAATTTTTAATGATGCGAACTGTAGATGATGATACTGTATATTTAAAATCTCCAATTTTACATTGAGGAATATTATTCCAAAGTTGTTCAACAATTTTTAGATGTATCTTTTACCAGATTGGTGATCCTCTGCCCATCTTTACTTCTGAGACATTCTGTTTCTCTAAGATGCTCTCGTTATACCCAATCATGCTACTGACCTGTTGCCGATTAACCTAATTAGTTGCAAAATGTTCTTCCAGCTCTACCTTGCTAGTACCACTTAGTTTGCCAGCTTTTTGTTGCCCTGTCCCAGGTTTTTCTGAGACGTATTGCTGTCATCAATTTTTTTAAGTTTAAACATTTGATATGTTTTCTATTTTCTATTGTGAATAAAATATAGGTTTATGAGATTTTCAAATCATAGCATTCTGTTTGTATGTAGAGTTTACACAGCGTCCCATCTCTTTTAAATTGGGGTTGTACATACTACATTACATTTGTCACACGACTAGTTAGCACATTTCTATCATAAAGACAAGTCTTTATGACACGCACTCAAGTGCTGCCATCATGAGAGACTGACAGGCCATTCTGAAGTGGCTTATTAAACACTTAGTAAAATCAATCTCATAGAATAACAGTGAATATGGAAGAAATAAATGACTGGAGGCGGTGTTTTTTTCTTGAGAAAACTAGACCTCAGGTGGGAAAATATGTAGGCCTTGTCTCATTTCCAGCCTACAATGAACATTAAGTAAACAAAAGAAGACAATAAACCATTTGTATCCTTCACCAGCCTCCAAAGACTTTTCACACACGCGGCTGTGTGACCCTCTTCATTGCCGGTTGCTATTTTCAGCTCCATCACTGCCACCAATTGTGAACTTAGGCACCTTTTCTCACAAAAGCTTGTCATTACTTGAATGTACTTAACACCCTATAAACCACTTGTAGATTATTAGTGATTCCATTGGATACAGAGACCTCTGACAATGCTCTGTCAAGCCTTGCCGAAAGAAATTCAAAATCTACAAGATCCAGACACAAAACAAATAACAGTGAAATTAAAACAAATTAATTTCACCTTCGGGCTGTGTAAAGAACATTTTCTGAGCAATTAATTAATAAGAAAAAAGTTAGACTAGTTAGGATGACAGGGGCACAAAAAGTAAAAAATGGTAAACTGTTCAAATATCACTATACCTTAGTCTACTCAACTACAAAAAGTTCCAAGTTATGGCAATCAAAAATATAGATATGCAGATTTAAAGTACTGTAACGGTTATGTGCCTGAGGTTGAATTTGGGTTCTTCTGCCTCTGGGGCTGTGGCTATGTTCACTCTGGGGAATCTGAGTCTTGCATTATACACTTTGCATAGTACCTCTGCTCCAAGTACTCTCTAGTTCCACCTGTCTCATAGCTGCAATCAATACACAATCATATCAGCTTAAATTGCAGGACTTCCTTTGGATTATACCCGTTTGTTGGATCCGTTTCCGTGGATGTGCTATACGCCTGAGCTACTGAACTTCTGGATTTTGACCTTTGCCTGATTCCTGGTTTACTCTCTTTGCCTGATGATTCCACCTTACTCTGCCAGTCTGTGTATGACCCCGTCTGTCCCCAACCACAATTCTGGATTCTGACTTTGTACCTTGCCATCAAGATTTGTTGCTAACCTGGCCAGCCTAACTACGCTAATGCCTCATCCCACAGCCAAAGCTCCACTTTTAACTATACCTTAAAACAGTGACAGTGGACCCAGCTGAGGTGATTAAGGCTATTTTGCATCAGGGACAATTACTTGACACTCATGAAGTACATCTGTATTCTAAACTGGACATACTGACTGCTGTGATAAAATCCTTGCTGTTAGCATCCTCTGATTCAGTTCAGACTCCTGCTCCTGCTCCAGTCCAAGCTGCCTCGTCAGGGCCTCTCAAACTCCCTCTTTCTGAAAAGTTTGGAGGCAATACTGAAGACTGCAGAGGGTTTCTGAACATTTGCCATTTGCACTTCCGCAATAACCCTGGGACATTCAGCACAGCCTCTGCCAAAGTGACTTTCATAATTTCTTTGTTAAAGGGGAAGGCACTGTCATGGGTCTTTCCTTACCTGGAATGCAATGATCCTTTGCTACAGAATGCGGATAAGTTCCTGTCCTTATTTCACACTGTGTTTGACAAACCTGGCAGAGTTTCAGCTGCTGAATGATCACTTTTGGATATATAGCAAGGTACCAGAACTATCGTACAATATGCTGTAGAGTTTTGCACCCTGGCTACTGAGTGGAATGCTGGTGCTTTTCATGCAGCTTTTTGCAAATGCCTCACTGATCTTATCAAAGAGTAACTGGTTTATAAGGATCTTCCAGATGATCTTGAAAAGTTCATAGAGCTGTGTGTCCATCTGGATATTTGCTACCATGAAAGGTGTCAGGAGAAATCACAGACTCACACGCTACCTTAGCCAGTGTATTGGTTGGCTCCTTCCTTCCAAACATTGCACGTCCAAACCCGAAACTTCTGTTGAGTCCATTTCACCTGCAGAGCCCATGGAGCCCATGGAGCAGCTTGCCCTCCCCTTCCAGTAAAAAGGGAGGGTCTAACAAATGTTGGAGGAGCTGGGCTGAACCTTACAAATGCTTCCCCCAAAACTAAGCTCTTGGTATCCGTTACGTTCCATTTGGCCTCAAACTGTATTCTGTGAGGCTTTCATGGAGCAGTGTGTATATTCCTAAAATAGGCTTTCGCCAAGGAAAACAGCATTCCTTTTGTCCCCAAGCCACGACCCCTGAGCATCACCACAGTAAATGGACAACCATTAGGAAAAGGAATAGTGGGATTTGAGATCACCATAGTCACCCTACAGGTTGGTGCCCTCCATAAGGAGGAAATTAACCTAGCTCTTATTGACACTCTATTCCTGCCTGTAATCCTTGGATGTCAGTGGTTGCAACTACACAACCCTTCATTTGATTAGCATAACTGGGAATTAACCTGGGAATTAACCTTCTGGGGCACATACTGCCAGCAGATCTGTGTACTTTGTCCCAAAAGGCTATCTCACAACATCCAAACCCAGAACTCCAGTACCTTGTTGAAGTGGATGCATCTGAAGTAGGGGCTGGTGCAGTGCTCTCAAAGACAACTAAAAACTGGTAAAATTCACCCAGTAGCCTCTTGCCCCCCTCCTGCTGAGGTTAACTATGATGTCGGGAACCGAGAACCACTGGCGATTAAACTCACAATATCTGTATGGAAGCATCTCTTGGAAGGGATGTCGAAGTCCTTCACAATACTGACTGACCAAAAAAAACCTTCTGTACCTCCAAACAGCAAGACGTCTGAATTCACATCAGGCGCAGTGGGCTTTTTTTCTTTTCCTACTTCAACTTTATTCTTTATGTTCCAGGACACAAGAGCAAAAAAGTAAGTGCTCTATCCCGACAATTTGAAACTTCCGAAACTGATCCACCCACCGAACAGTACATAATACCACCTCACAAGATTGTTGCACAGCTCTCTACAGTACTCTGCGCTTAGTCTCTAGTAGCATCTAATCTGACATGCAAATGGACCTCTAACTACCAAGTGGCTGTTGGATGCCCAACCTGCTTCTAGCCTATGCTGGCTACTAAGCCCTGAGCTAAAATTAGCTATAGAATCTCAGACCAGGAGGGACAGGGTTTACTAGACTAAAATGAACTGCTTACAAACTCTATTAAACAATAAACAGCTTAACCTGCTAACATACAGCAAGGTGACGTCTAGACACGCACACTGGGTCACAGATTGAACTTTCCCATATAGTGCATGGGATATATTAAGAGGGAACAGATATATTTCTATCACCAGTAATTAAATATATAAATATATACACCCAGAAACTATGGGCAACAATTGCAAACTATTAACACTTGGCTAATAGGCCTTGCTTCTGGTCTGGAATAGCAACATTTCTTTCATGGGGAGATGTGGTTTCAGCTACTCTGTCTCTCTTTCCACTTCCTTCTTCTGGGGTTTCTAACCCAGCTACACAGAGACAGGAAGTGATGTAGATAAACAACTTTCTCATATTAAGTGCAGAGTTATTTACAAATACAGTCAGAAGAGGGCAGCATATCTCGACAGTACCTAGTAGACTTTAGGGTCAGAAAATGCTCAGCAGACTTTTGGGTCAAGTTACCAAAATGTAGTTAATTAACCACCTCCCGTCCGGCCGTTGTATATTAACGGCCGGACAGTGGCAGTGTGTTTATAAACGGCCTCCCCACCCCCTGTTTGTGCGCGCTCCCTGGGAGCGCGCGGCACCGCGATCCGGACACAGTGGAACACCGATTGTTGTATCACTGATTGGCCAATCAGTGATCACATGCAGAGTAGTAAGCAAGATGTCACTTTTAACATCATTGCTTACTATGTGTGAAATCTGTGAATGATCACAGAGGTCTTATGGTACAAGGCTATTCACAACAGCCTTGTAACATGTGGCAAGCTGTGACCAATCACAGCTCACACAGTATTTCTCAATGGCTGCAAGAATGCTGCCAGAGAGAAGGAGAAATGATTGCTGTTACAGCCTTTATGGGTGTAAAAGCAATCAGTGTAAAAAAAATAAAAATCTTCATCGCCCCCCACAAGTAGTACAGTGTCACCATGGTGACATTGTAATGCTAGGGTAAAAAAAAAAAAACATAAATAATATTATAAAAAAAATTTTTTTTAAAAATATATAATTTTTGGTTATAAACTAATTTGTGTAATTTTGTTTGCTAAAAAGATAACTGAATACATTTTGGCCAAGATTTATGATGAAATATTATTTATTTGCAAAATTATATATAAGAAAAACACCTTTTTTCAATATTTTTGACTTTTTCATTTATATAGCAAAACAAAAATTAAAATCCCAGTGGTGAATAAATACCACCAAAATAAAGCTTTATCTGTCTCAAAAAAATGCTAGCAAATTCATATGGGTACAGTGTTGCATGACCGCGTAATTGTCATTCAAAGTGTGATAGCGCTGAAAGCTGAAAATTGGCCGGGACAGGAAGGGGGTAAAAGTGTCCGGACATGAAGTGGTTAAACTCTGTATTTTAGCTTATGTTCATCTTTTCTTGCTCATTCTACAAATCTTTGAAAATGTAATATATTGCAGATTGCCATTCCTTAGATGTGGTCACTGTATTAGCTTTCTTTTTTTACAGGCTATATACATTTTCTGCAGGTATAGAAAATAACTTGTTGATCCAGTATTCTTGTAACACCATGTGCCCTAAAATGAAATCCCAAGCAATGTTATCACCTTTCCCAGTTTTCTTTTGTTAAAGTGTTACTAAAGTCTATTTTTTTTTTTTTAAATAACAAACATGTTACACTCACCTGCTCTGTGCAGTGGTATTGCACAGAGTGGCCCCTTTTCTTAGCTCTTCCTCTTCTTCATGGGCCCCCATAGCAAGCCCCCACAGTGTCTGCTTACTCTCGAGCTGTGTGTCTATAGAACCACGCTCCATAGACTCACACAGTGGGACATAGCCCCACCCCCCACTTCCTCCTCACTGCATTTGATTGACAGCAGTTGGAGCCAATGGGTTGGATGTAAAAATACATCCAACCCATGCTAAGAAAAATGGTTTGTAGTCCTAACACACTTCCTGTCGTAGGGTGACACTATTGCTCTTCCACAGATACATGACTGCTGGACTTGCAGAATATTGAGCTTAATATTTACCCCTAATCCATAAAACCACTACCACCCCTTCAAACCTTCCCCACCTAATGACCACATGACTCTCTTTTTGGTGTAAAATGTAAAAACATACATTGAGATGCACCCCATCTGCACGCAAATCCCGCCAGGACTCCTCCTCTAACTCATGATGCCGAACTGCTATGCCACCATTCCGCACAAAAAACCATGCCACCTCCCTATTCACCTTTATCCGGACCCGGTTAAGTTTGTCGACTGAACGGGCCTGGCGCCAATAAGCACGGGCCACCATGTCAGACCAGACCAGCACAGTCTGTGGGAAAAAGGACCAAAGGCGCAAAAAATCAAATTTAATGTCTCGGATCACTTCCCACATAGAGCGCAACCCGAGGTCATCGCCACCCACATGTAACACCAAAACGTCCGGAGGCCGGTCTAAACGGGAATAACAATGAATCTCAGGTATTACCCTGGACCACAACATCCCCGGCACAACAAGCCAATGAAGTCTGGCCTCCCCCCTATCAAAACACAATTGCCGACCCTCAGGCCGAACATCCGCCCGCTTAGCCCCCCAAAAGACATAAGAATGGCCCATGATCCACACCAAACAGACATCTGAACCTGCAAAGAAAACAAACAGAAAGGAGGGAGGAGGTAGAAAACCCTCAACAAGGCCCCCACAACACAAACAAAACACAAGAATGGACAGTGACAGGTACCGTTAAGACAAACACAACACCACCAACAGAGCACCCCCACCCGTCTGAGGACGTATAACCGAAACCTAGCCGAATCCCAACGCCCAATACGTCGAACGACGTGATCACCCAGACCCCACTGGGCGGCCTCCGTAGCCGCCCCAATGCGAAAAGAATGGGACGAGTAGTGCTCACACACCCAACCCGGCAGACTGCAAACACCATTTAAACACTGCCCCAAACGAGACAGTGCCATCCCATTCGCATGCATAAAGAAAACCCCAGGAAGATCGGGTCTCAACTCGAGAAATTCCCCAACAGCCTGAACAGGACAAATCCGGGACATTGGAATCTCGGACAACTCAACCCAGGTTCTCCCGACCCAAGCGATGCATTATTGACCTGCGCAGAAAAATACGCAACCCACCACCCTGCAAGACCACCTCATCCACTGCCAAACCACCCTCCCCCCACTTGTTCCAACTAACAAACTCCCCAACCCGAAAAGCACCAAAAAATGCCAGCACAAAAGTCGCCCGGAACAAAGTTGCCTCATACAACGAGGAACAAATACCATCCAACTGGTCCACCACCGCATGAAGAACCTCAAAAGAAATCAGCCGCCTAGAATCGGGAATTGAATGGCCTTTTTGGTACCCCAGCATAGCCTGCCGAACAAGGAAATCTTTGGTAACATCACAGCGCCCCGCCAATTTTAAGCGGAAAGCCAACCCCGCCAGCTTCCGGGACATCAAAGATGCCGAAACACCAGTTTCAAAATTTCTACTGATGAAATAAAGTAGGAGGCACCGGGCATCATCCACCCCGAACCCACCCCCTACCTCACCCCAGCTACAGTCATTCCCGCCAAACCTTTTCATAGAAAGCCCAAGTGGACGCACAAACCGATGTTTGGATCAAGGCCGCAGAAGAGGCAAGGCGATGCTCCACAAATGATCCGGGCAAGCGATACTGCACTGTTCCGCTTCCGGCGCCAGCTGACAGAACCGGTCCCACTGAAATCGAGACAGAGCATCAGCTTTCCACACCCGGAACATGAACAGCCGAAATAAAACAATTAAGACGTAAACAGTCCAGAACCAAACTCTGCAGCAAACAAACCACCGGCCGAGATGAGGCCGAAACACTGTTAATGGCATGTACCACACTCAAATTGTCACAATAAAAACGAATCCGTTTATTCCTAAAAACGGCACCCCACAAAGAAACGGCCAAAACACTCAGGAAAAGCTCCAATAAGGTCAGATTGCACAACAAACCCACCTCGGACCTGCGCACTACTGACCCTGAAAATAGGCCCCAAAACCGGCAGAGCCCGCCGCATCCGTAAATAGTTCCAGATCAAAGTTAGACACCTCCCCATCCAACCAAAGTGATCTGCCATTGTAGGTATCGAGAAACATCCTCCACACCCCCAAGTCGTTCCGGAGTTTGCTATTCAGCTGAACCCTGTGATGCGGGGGCGCCACACCAGCCATGGCAGCTGCCAAGCGCCTGGAAAATATACGCCCCATGGGCATGATGCGGCAAGCAAAATTCAACTTACCTAATAATGACTGTAAATCACGAAGTCGAATTTTCCTGCACTGACCCACCGCAGTCACCAACCCCCAGAGCTCCTCCAATTTATCCAGAGGCAAACGACATTCCATGGCCTCCGTATCGATAACAATGCCCAAAAAAACCAATTCCGTGTGCGGACTCACGTCTTATCCAGAGCCAAGGGAACGCCAAAATGCTCAAACACATGCTCCACCATGTTCAGTAGCGACACACAGATGGAACTTCCCGGGGGGGGCCAATGCACAAGAAATCATCCAAATAATGGATGACGAATGCTAGCCCAGAAACATCCCTAACCGCCCATTCCAGAAAAGAACTAAATGTCTCAAATAGGGAACAAGAAATGGTGCAGATCAATAGGCAAACAACGATTGACCCCGGCCCCATAGCCGCACTGAAAGAACCACCCACCACCGACCTAACGGCAGAAGAGGCTCCAGAGAACTGCGGCCCAGCTACCGTAAACCACCTGCGGGGGCACCCCCGCAGCAGCGTCTCTACCTCCCATGGAGCCAACACCGCCCCCAGATGCCGGAGCCTAAACCACCGACCACGCGGCCAAAGATGGCGCTGAAGCCCTGGCCACCACCCTCGCCTCACAACGCACCAGCACATCCCTAAAACCCGCCAGCAGCATACCAACAACCCCATCAGTGCCCCGGGAACCCCCCAGCGACGACGCATCAACTCCAGTAACTCCAGACCTGCTCGCCACCTCAAACCCCGAAGCGCTACTCCCCAAGTACCCAAAACCCCCAAACAGAGAAGAAGAGGAAGACAACGGAAAAACAGGCCCAGACGTCAACTCAACAGGCTGCATCTGCCCACCGGGACTCCCAGCCGCCACTCCGGATCCATGCAGGGACGAAGGGACCGCATCATCTTCAGAGCTGCTGAGCTCCCCCTCAGACCTCCGCTCCTCATCCTCTGGTTCCCAGGCAGCACCACGTGTTGCTCCAGAATCGTTCACGGCTCCTGGGCCCAGGAAGCGCACATAAAGTATGGCAGCAGCCACCGCACCAGAGCCCAGAGCCGCTGGATCATCCCTCCCTCGCTGAGCTCGCTAAGAGGCAAAGGAACTCCCAGCAGCCGAAGCCCCGTCCTGTGTCAGGGACGACGCTGTCCGGCTGCGAACCCTGGGCGGCGCACGGGGGTGATGTCAGTAGCCCCCACCCCCCCTCGATGAGCTCGCTGGGTGGCCAAGGAAGGCCCCAGCAGCTGCAGGCTGGATCGGACGGAAAGGCCGGGTCCCGGCTCCGGAGGCCGGGCGGTGCACAGGAGTAACGTCATCCGGCGCCGCCCCCACCGCGCTCCTAG